AGCAGGAAGCTGAAGACAGAAAAGATCTAGCAGCCAACATGTACGACGTTGTTCAGTCTGACTAGGTTCTTTTTGGGAACAGCACGTGGACCTGCTGCTCTCGTCCATGCCTTCTATGAGAGAACTAGGCAATACCTACCTTGCTGCATATAAGAGAAAATAAGGATACATGAAGAGCTAGTCTGTTCTACAGAGCAGTTCTAAAGTATGTTTCATTACCAGTTTTAGAAAAAGGGAAAATTGAGGAGTAGATTTATATTTAAAAATACTTACTTACATTATCTAGATAAACGTAAATAACTTGAAACTGCGAAGAGGACAAAAGAAAGGCATTTGAAAAGAGAAGCAGGGGCGAATACCATTGTGGATGTGGAGAGAATGTATTTTGACCAATAGTACTGCCATATCTGTAAAGCAGAAAGCCAGCAGCCAGGATGAGGACTAATTTGTTCAAGTACTTCACAAATAGTAATGGTTGTATCACCTGAATGCATTACTTCATACAGACCACGGATGGCTTCAGCCTCACATGCATTTGCATTAATACGTTCCCCTGTCATCCCCCTCCATTACCCCTGTAACGGCTTACAGCACGCCAGTTGCTCAGCTCCCACAGAAATCCCACTGACATTAATGGGAAGTGAGCTTGCCCAGCAGCTCACAAGGAGCAGTCCAACTGGCAGAGCTTTCCCCTTAGTCTTTTTGTCAGGCAGAAAGCACGCTTTCCTCGCCTTATCTGTCCTATCCCTCAGAAAGAATGAGGATGTTTACCAGAGGCCAAGCTCCTGGTTCCCTGTGCAGCCACCTGCCCCCAGCAAACACGGGAGATGGGGGTCACCTCCAGCTTACTGTGGGGTTTTCCAGGGATTTTATAAAACTGCAGTAGCTTGTATTTACCCCATGATTTGGGTGGATGGACCTGCTCTCTAGGCCTGGGCAAAGAAAGCAACTGCCTCTGCAGCAGTCGGACCCGGGGGAGCAAAACCGCTGTAGCGGAACTGCCTGGCATGGCCAGAGCCCTGGTGCTGCACGGACACTGTGCTGCAGCTGGGGCAGGGGCTGGGTCGCGTGGGGCTGCAGGACTGCGGGGCCAGCTGCTGCCTCCACCTTCCCGTCCTCCAGTGGATGGGAGAGCAGGATGCTGGAGCTCCAGGGCTCTTGCCTTGATCCCTGCTGGTTGGTGCTACCCCACGGAAACCTCCTGCCCCAGCCCTGCCCTCAGCTGCATCTGTAACAGGAATGGCCTTGGCCCCACGTCCTGGAAAGTGGCAAAATTCAATTCAGAGAGACCTTGGGCCAGCTCATTTCAGAGCCCCTGCATTTCACTGGCCTGTATTTCCCTGCTTGCTCCCATGATAGAGTACTGGATCCCTGTGGAGTTGCTTCATATGGGCTTCCATGGAGGACAGGAGTAGCAGGCACATGCAGGGAGATGTGCCTTGATCTCCTTTGACAGAGGCCTATAAGTAAGTGTTGAACCCCACCAAAGCAACAAGGAAATGAACATAAGCAAAGGGGAGGGCTTTTTACTGGTGAAAAATATCAAAGTAACTAGTATAAGGTTAAAAAGCTTTTGTAAGTCCACTCTGTGAAGAAAAAAGCTCAAACTCCCTGCATGATTATGATCTTTTTCCTGAAAGGCTAAGCAATCTTTAGCTAATTAATATAACAGTATTTTATTACTAGAAAACCTACCAACAGGTTTTAAGGCCTCTTACAATCTCTAACCATGTATGTGGTTTACATACTCAAGACAAAATAGCGCCCAGTTTTTCTTTCTGAATCACTTCAGAGAAGACGACTATCAGAGACTTGATGTCAGGTTCTGGGAAAAAAACCCCATGACTTAGTGCTCTTTTAATCAAGAAGAGTCAAGCGGTATCGGTATTGTTACTGAGCAATCACACTACGATGATGATACCACTGATACTAGAATTCACCAAAATCCCTTTGTATTATCTTAATTTAGTATGTTTCCCCCAATTAAAAACCACTTTTCTCTGCCTGTTGGAGAGTGGATGGGTGGGACATAATATAATACATCATCAGGTAAAAAAAAATAAATAAATTACTCTAAGACTGTTTGGTATCTGTAAGTATTACTTGACTTGGTTTTGTATTATCTGTGAAGCTTAACAAATCCAGCCCTTTCAGATGATTACATGACTAAATCACAACCTATGGACAGCAATGGCAGTCATCTCTTGGGAGGGATAATAACAACAACTAACAAGCACTGTTTTAACTAGTGGTAAGTAGTGCTTGTGTAATTGCACATGGTTTATGAGCTATGAGATCACATATGTTAAGTGCAAAACATCGCTTTTTCTGACACCGTAGCCTGAAATCAATAATCACACATAAAAATCGTGGTACCTGTGGACTAGACAGTAAGTTGGTTTGGGGGCTGGCTATGGTTCCTGTTTGCCAGCGTGTTCTCCTCTGGCAGTCAGAGCTCCCATGAGTTGCTTGCACGCTGACTGCTGTGGCTGTTACTTGACTCCAGTACAGCACAGCACAGCACCTCAGAAAACTACATCTCATTCAT